TCCAACTCCTGGGCTCAAGCGAGTCTCCTGCCTCCGCTTCCCAGGTAGCTGGGACCACAGGCGCCCACCACAACGCCTGGCCATTTTTTTTGGTTGCAGCCATCATTGTTGTTTGGCGGGCCCGGGCTGGAGATTCGAACCCGCGACCTTAGGTGTATGTGGCAGGCGCCTTAGCCGCTTGAGCCACAGGCGCCGAGCCAAGATGGAAAATTTTAACAAACTGTTTAAACTATTTTCTCAAAGAGACTTCCTAAACTGCCAGAGATCTTGAATCACCTCCTGGTCAGTCATCCGGAAGCAATTCTTCACATAATGGGTGAACTTGGCTTCCACTTTGGGAAGAGATCCACCTTCTTCTATACTTGCTCGCATTTTTGCCTCAATGTCTTCTACAGAACTAGGTCCTTTCAGTGTTTTAGGAGTTTTTTCCTGTGTTTTGAAGGATTCTTGACCTTTTGATTTCGGTGTTGATGGTTTTGAATCCTTTCCATTCTAGGTTGACTTTTGTGCAATTTTGGCTGGAGTGTCTCGCAGGTTTCTTCACTGGAGCTTTTTCTTCAGTCTCCTCATCATGACCACCTTCATCTTCATCATCTTCATCAACAGCAAGTTTTTACTTTTTCCTATGGAACTTTGCTACCACTTCCAGGGGCAGATCGCTCTCCAGTCATACTTAAAGAGTTTCACACCCTCTTCCTCTTCACCTTCTGACTCTGCCTCTTGTTCCACAGCTACTAAGTGCTGCCCGCTGATATGCACAGGCCCTGAACCACACTTCAACCGTAAGACCACAGGTGTTGTTATTTCAAAGTCCCCAAGAGAAACCGTTGCTGTACAGACATTTTCAAAGTTGCCAGTGTTACTTTAATTGGACTACCTTCATAATTCATTGTCTCTGCTTCAACAGCGTGCAGCTCATCCTTTGCACCAGCCCCTAAACTGACTGTTCTTAAGGATAACTGGTGCTCATTTTCATCATTATCCACCTTAAAGTGATAATCTTTGTTGGCCTTTAGTTCACGACTGAAAAGATAGTTCTGAGTCCTCAAGGGGCTCATGTCCATCGAATCTTCCATGAGGTGGTGGCACACACTTAGGTGGGTGAGAACGACTACTGCTCCAAGGAACAGCCCCGCAGGATGGAATCACACCCAAAATGAGTTCTTGCTATGTTGCTCAGGCTGGTTTCAAACTCCTGGCCTCAAGTGATCCACCTGCCTGACCAAGATTTTTTAATAATAAAATTCAGGGGTGGTGCCTGTGGCTCAGTGAGTCAGGCGCCGGCCCCATATACCAAGGGTGGTGGGTATATGGCCCCGGCCAAACTGCAACAAAAAAATAGCCAGACATTGTGGCAGGTGCCTGTAGTCCCAGCTACTCAGGAGACTGAGGCAAGAGAATCACCTAAGCCCAAAAAAAGCTGGAGGTTGCTGTGAGCAGTGTGACACTGCCATGGCACTCTACCAAGGGTGAGAAAGTGAGACTCTGTCTCAAAAAAAAAGTTAAATAAAATTCAGATGTGGGAAAATCAGTGAGTTTATAAATTGTATGAAATTTAAAACCCATTAATCAACTCTTTAAGTAATTTCTTTCTTTCTTTTAAGAGACAGAGTCTCATTGTATCGCCCTTTGTAGCAGGCCGTGGCATCACAGCTCACAACACCTCCAATTCGTGGGCTTAGGTGATTCTCTTGCCTCAGCCTCCTGAGTAGCTGGGACTACAGGTGCCCACCACAATGCCTGGCTATGTTTTGTTGCAGTTTGGCTGGGGCCGGGTTCGAACCCGCCACCCTCAGTATATGTGACTACCCACTGAGCCACAGGCACTGCCTCTTTAAGTAATTTTTAAACAATTTTCAAACTAAAGTTTCATTATGGCTACATTTGACCTTTTGTTTTCTTTTATCTTCAATTTTTTTCTCATTCTTTTGGCATGACTGCCCCATATCACTTAATTTAACATAGGGACAGCAAAATTTTTTTTGCCGGAGCTGGGTTTGAACCCACCACCTCCAGTATCTGGGGTGGGTGCCCTACTCCTTGAGCCACAGGCACCACCCAGAACAGCAAAACTTTTATGGTAAAGGGCCAGAGAGTAATTATTTAATGCTTTGTGGGCATACTATATCTGTCATATTCACCTCTGCCATCATAGCTCAAAAGCAGCCATAGACAATATGTGATCAATGGTATGGCTATGTTCCAGTAAAACCTATTTAGAAAAACAAGCTATAAGCTGGAATTTGCTCTAGTGTTACAGTATGCAGTAAGGGACGAAATGGAATTTAGAGTCAGAAATACCTGGCCACTGATTAACTGTATGACTTTGAGAAAGTTTACAAATTTCCATGAATCTGAATCATCTCTCAAAAGCAAATAACAGCATCTTTCTAATGGGTTATAAGGATTAAATGAACTATATAAAGTGCTAGTACTAAACCTGGCTACTAGTAAATAGTAGCTATTTTTATTAAATGATAGCTGGAAGAAAACATTGAAAAGAAAGATAAAAAAGGTCAAGAAGACCAGCATTGGGAAATGACATACAGGCCTAGAAACACTGGAAGGGCTGCCTGTGGCTCAAGCTGTAAAAGATTCTATTGACCTTTATACCAACTTAATTAACTTAAATATCCAGAAATATAGTGAATTCTCATTTGTGGTAGTTATGTTCTATAAAGTTGCCATAAACACTGAAATAGCTAATACCACAGTGTTGCTTTTAGGTAAAATACAGGCTTTGAGGGCCGGCCGGGTACAGTGGCTCACACCTGTAATCCCAGCACTTTGGGAGGCCAAGGCAGGTGGACTGCCTAAACTCAGGAGTTTGATACCAGCCTGAGCAAGGGCGAGACCCTATCTCTAAAAAAACAGTGAGGCAGGCTCAGTGCCTGTGGCTCAAGTGACTAAGGCACCAGCCACATACACCTGAGCTGGTGGGTTTGAATCCAGCCCAGGCCTGCCAAACAACAATGACGGCTGCAACGAAAAACAGCCAGGTGTTGTGGCGGGTGCCTGTGGTCCCAGCTACTTGGGAGGCGGAGGCAGGAGA